AAAGCAAGCCACTGAGGAAAAACTTGAACTCTCATTTTCTCTCCTACTTCCCCATCTCCTTTCTCTGACTACTATGTACTAGGATTTATTCTACAAAGTTAGAATTTGTCAGTTAACTCTGGCTCCCAAAGTTCAAGAAACTCCACAGCAAAAACTAAGCAAGAAAGCTCTGTCTGAGACACTGAGATGCAACACTGGCATAAGCGTACAAGCTGGAGCTTTGTTTAATAAGACACTGGAACAAAAACGTTATTATCGACAGTGACAGGATCCAGAAGTGCTTTGTTCTGACTGCCCCCCCATCCCATCACCGGTTCCTTTCCTTTACCCAATTTCCTCCCTTTGCATTCATGTCACACGGATTCTTATCACCCTACCTTTGCCCCCATTCCAACAGATTTCTTCCTTTCTTCTTATGACCTCCCTTCTGGCAAAATCAGAAAGTTTAGTGGTACTTAGGCTGTTCATAGGGCATTGTCCATGTACATCTACATCCATGAAATTTTTACACTCAAAAAATGGATCTATTCTCAAAAGTTGCTAAATAAACATGGTCACTATAATACTGGTTAATGCAAAAATAAATGAAATAAAGGCTTATTATAGATAATTCATTATTTCTATCATACCTATACAATGAAATATCATGCACCATTTCAGAGAATTCATCTTTAAGATAAATTAAGGACCTAGAGTGTTTGCATGGAGTGAATTTCCAAAGGTTTTCTGATATTAACTAAACAAACCACTTTGGAATGGCTAACTTTGCTCACAGAGGCTGGGAGGAGAGGTCTTGTTCACCTATTCTCTGAAGCAGGCTCTCTTTTTTAAACCCAGAACTTGCTGACTCAGCTAATCCAGCTTGCCAGCTTTTCCCAGGGATCCTGTCTCTGCATCCTGGGTGCTGGATATCTGAACAACAGTCCTCAGGCTTGGACAAGAAGTACTCTATCTGCTGGGCCATCTCCCTAAGCCCCTCGTTTTTTACTTCCTAAAATTAGGATAGTAGGGTTATGAACTACTTTTTGTTTTCTGTATATTTTTTGTTGAAAGACCCTTTGTTATCATTTCATCCGAGGAAAAAAGACTAAGTATAAAGAAAGATAAATATTTATAGTATATTAAAATTTGATTTTACTGATAGCACCTCTATTTCCCAAAAGCTGATATAAGCTTATAAGCTTTCTTACAGGTAAGTGATAAAATGTTGTAAGAAAAACACTCTTTTAACATTTAAAAAAATGTTTAAAAAGTATACAAAATGACATAAAACAATAAATGCAAGACGACTGAATCTGAACCACTTTAAAATTGTCCTTTCTTCCTTCCTTCCTTCCTTTTTAGAAAAGTGAAAAATGATACCAGTAAGTTTCAATTTCTGTAGATTAGACCTGATACATCTCTGATCCTATCCTTCACATGGAACAACTGTTGCTTTCCAAACCTATTAGTGTCAAAAGCAGATGTAATTAGAATGGGGGTTGGAGAGAAACCACAGAGACCTGATGTATAGTGTTTCACAGTGAAAGAGAAGCACACGTCAACAAGAGAGTACATGTATGTACTAGAGCTGCTGGAGTCCCCATGGGTTACTCACCAGCACAACTCATCAGCACTCCCCTGAAGGAACCTCTGATCCGCAAAGGCTGTGGCGGAGTGTATCTCTAAATAGCCTCAAGGGACCATTCTCATGCTGCCCCAGTCTTTAAATTTCATACACACAGTAGCAATATATTCTCTTAGTTATCTGGGATTGTTTAGACGTGAAGGTCAAGAGTATGTGAAGTGGAGCCCTTCCTAGCCTGTGAAAGTGAGTTCAAATCTCACTCCTATCACTCACCCAAGAGCTTCAAGATCTTGGGTGAGTCACTTTATCTTTACCTCTGAAATGTCTAAAATTATCCTCATGGGATGATGTGATAATAGTATCTGTATATTACCTCACAATGGTCAAATATATAAAATGTTAAAAACACTCTTCTTTAAAGTGTCTAAGAAATTATGAATAGAAATCTCAGTAATTTAGTTACCTGTTCCTTCCTAAGGCTAAAATACCATTAATTTTTCTGAACTGTTGTTCAGGATCACAACTACAAACATAAATAACAAGCTTATGATTATGAAAACCAAATAATCATCTTACAGATACAGACTGTGCAATCAAGTTTGGTGAGAATTTAAGTTTGCCACATACTTGTCTTTATGCTAATTATTTCTAAACTGTTGCACTTAAATAAAAAGCCTGCTCGGTCTTCATTCACAGTCAGGACTAAGTTCTTTTAGCAAGCTTTGTATCTTCTTGATGGGCTGACTCTAAGCTTCAGTAAGCTAAGAAAATGGAAAAGCCACAACTGCTCCAAAGCAGACTGACACAGCTTAAAGAAAAAAGAAACAAAAAGTGTATGCTTGAGATTCAGACAGCCTTTGGTTTAAATCCAAGTTGCGCTAGTCAAGTTAACTCCTCCAAATCTTGATTTCCTCATTCTTAAAATGGAAATATAGAAATAGTATGGTAAGAAAAAAATTTGAAAATGAGTAAAAAAAATCTGAGTGCCTTCTACTCCTGTGCAACATAAACTACCAGTGAATGGTAATTACTATTACATGACTGGTGATGTTTATCACCACCATAGCTAAGGCTGGGCATTGGTGGCACACACTTTTAATCCCAGCACTCGGGAGGCAGAGGCAGGCGGATCTCTGTGAGTTGGAGGCCAGCTTGGTCTACAGAGGACAACCTCTAAAACAATACAGAGAAACCTGTCTCGAAAAACCAATTCCTTTTCAGGAACAGACTTTCAATGTGCGAGACTTTTAGGGTTATACTGGAGATACAAAGATGAAAAAGAGCATAGCATCTAATGTCCCAGGCTCACGACCTCATGAAGGACAAATAATCGCGTGACCTGACATATGAAACAGCATTAGGAAGCAGAGTTCCCTTTCAAGTTGAATTTTTTTCTGGAGGAGGTCATATTCAGGTAAGAGGACAAACATGAATTCACCAGCTTGGAGGCTAACTTGTGAAGCTGACCTGGACTAACGGGATCAAACGCACTGGGACAAATCTACTGCAAGACATACAAGTCAGGGCCTCTCAGACAGGTGAGACTAAGAACCCTCAACACAGCACAATGGCCCAGGAGCCAAGCTGGAAGTCATGTAGAGTCGCAAGATAGAGAATGTATCATCGTTAGAGAAGGCAGTTCACTGAGGAAAACAGCGTGCTTAATAAATCCTGATCCCTCCAGCTAACATTGAAGATGACCAGGATGGGGACTGGGCAAACCAAATGAAGAAAACAGAGTGTGAGCTGGAAAACCGCAAGCGACGGCCTTGAAGTGGTGCCAAGGCTGGAGAGAGAAGTGAGGTGGTCCCGACTCCCGACATCCCTCAGACATGTAGGAAAATTCCCCATTTCCAGTTGAAATGAAGGGTTCAGTCACGAAGTCGACATGGAGAAAACAGAAACAATTTCAAGCATGTCAGTTTGTAACTAAATTCAGTTAATCTTACCAATGTTTTGTATTCCAAATCACCTAAGCTTGAGCGGAACAGGAAAAACAAAGACCAGTCACTTTGCGAGAGTAGTGTGGTGTTCCATTACTGAGGGAGGTGGTGACTGAGGTTTCAGCCTGTTACTAGCTAAGGCAGTTCAGAAGGCAGCCTTCTTAAACACCCATTGCACACAACTAAGCAGATCAAATACACGTGAGGAGTCTAAACTGTAATGGCATTAAATGGAGAAAAGACTACCAGCCTTGCATAATCATGTGGTTGTTTTAAAACAAAAACCAAAACACCTGCTTCTGCTTGCTGTCTAATGCAGGCCTATGAGGCAGGGTACCACCGCCCGAATCTTTTAAGAACTGAAATTGAAGTCTTGACCACAGGCTCACACTTTTGGAAGGAGACCAAAATGCTCAGAGCTGTCACCAAATTATACTTCCAGAAATAACTTTAAAAACCGTGTTACTTCTCTTTATAATCATAAAGGTGCCCTTTTAAGATCCAAAGGCAGGTTAGCTTAGAACTTGTCAAGTCCCTCACAAAATGGACTTATTGCTATTTGGGTTTCGCTTGAATTGGTTTTTTTTTTTAATTTGTTTTTCGAGACAGGGTTTCTCTGTATTGCTTTGGAGGCTGTCCTGAACTCGCTCTGTAGACCAGGCAGGCCTCGAACTCGCAGAGATCCGCCTGCCTCTGCCTCCCGAGTGCTGGGATTAAAGGCGTGCGCCACCACCAACGCCAGGCTTGAATTGGGCTTTCTTAACCAAGCATGAGTGGACTGCAGTACTATTTACCACACACAATCAGTCTTCAGGTGAAATCGCCGAGTTACCCAAAGTTAAAATGTCTCGGAAAAACTCCTCAGATCTCCTAACCACTACAGACGCCAAGTGACAACCTTATCACTCCAAGTGAATGATAAACACGAGCGCGCGCACACACATATATGCATACATGTAGTGTGTGTGTGTGTGTGTGTGTGTGTGGTGGGGTGGAGAGGAAAAAGACCACACCCAAAGTTAAGACTTCACAGTGAAGCGACGCCAAGTTTCAGAGGTCGAACTCTGGCGGCTACTTGTGGAGGGGAAGGGGGACCCTTAATTTCAAGGCTAATGTAACGTCCCTAGATGCTTTTCCGTTTCCCACCGGGGCCCAAGCTCCAGAAACCGTTCGGGATCCCGACCGCTCAGGTTACTTCTCTCGGGAACCCGCCAGGGCCAAGATGGAGAACGGCCTCCTCCTCCTCCTCCTCCGAAGCGCGGGGCCCGGCGGCCCGGCCTCCCGACGATCGAGAGAGACTCACCCGGGCACCGGCTACCCGGCGGGGGTCAGGGAGGCCGCCGCCGCCCGAGCCGCCACACCACGTCGGTGCCCGGGCACCGGGAGCGTCCGGAGGAGTCCCAAGGCCCCGCCGGCGTCCCCGGGTCTCCCGGCGCTGCCCGGGCCGCACGGCCACGCCAGCTCGGCGCGGCGCGGCGTCGGCCGCTCACCTTGGCCACGTAGTCCTTCACCTCGTCCAGGTCTCCGTTCTTCAGGGCCCACATGAACTCCTTGTCGCACATCGCTGCAGCGGGGCGGGCCGGGCCGGCAACCAGTGGCGGGGACGCCCGACGCGGGGGTGGGGGTGGGGAGGGGACCCGAGCGAACGACGCGCCGCTGGCCGCCGCGCGTGGGCGAGGCTGCGGGCCGCGACGACCGTGGGCGCGCGGGAGAAAGTTCTCTCTGCAGCCGCGGGGCCCAGGCCGAACAGTTTCCGCCTGGCTGGGGTGGAGGGTGAGGGGAGAGAGAGGAGACAGAGAGAAGGGGGGGAAGAAAAAAAGCAGGACGTTTACACTTCCGGTTCACGCCCCGCTAGGACCCGCCTCCGACTTCCTCTTCCTCTTCCCCTCCACGGAATGCCCCGCCCCGGACCCCGCCCCGGCGGGCGCCTTCCCTCCGGAGGGACGCTGCTTGTGCGCAGCCGCAGGCTCGGGGCCTGGCTCTTGCCAGGGCGGAGAAGAGGAGGGGCGTGGCCCAGTGGGCGGGCCCGGGAGGCTGAGTGACAAGAGATCCTGGAGGTGCTGGAGGAACGTCAGGGCTTAAACCTGGGAGAGTTGCAGATGGTTTTGGAGTGAGATTAGGTCACTCCCACTCCACTAAAGACGGGGAAAATGTTAGTATTCGAGGGCTAACTTTCGAATAATGCCAACAAGTGCTGTGCTTAGGTCGTCTCCATCTCTTTCCCACTTTAAATCATCAACGAAGCAAAACAAAGCCACCCACTCTCAGAAAGCTTTTGAGAATTTCGTCTACACGTACAATGAATGTGTTTTGATGAAATCCACTCCCGAGTCTCTTTTCTCCTTTCCCTCTACCACATTTCCTTCCCAATAGTGTGCTCTCTCTCTCCTTAAAAAAGCTATTTTTATTTATGTGTATGAGTGTTTTGCCTGAACATTTGTATTTGTGTGCACCACATATGTGCAGGTGGCCGGGGAGGCACGGAGAAGCATCAGATTTTAGGGTCATGTTGGAAACCAAACTCTCTCTGTGTCTCTGTCTCTCTCTATGTCTCTCCCTCCCTCCCTCCCTCTCTCTTTCTCTCTCTCCCTCTCTGAGCTTACTTAGTGCTTGCTTCCTATGTGTGCCTGCATGCAGGACCTGCTTTGCTTCGCCTTGAGGCCTCAAACTGAATTCCTAATCTTAGACATCCTTGGTTGGGTAGGGCTCTATCCTCCTTTCTCTTCACCCTCCTCATGGCCACTCCTGGCTTTTCTCCTTCCTTTCCTCAACTATGCAGTACTGTTTGGAACTCAAGACCCTGCTCTCCACCTGAAGAAAATAAAAAGGAAAGAATAAAGCATTTTTTTCCATAAGGAAATCTTCAACACGTAGTTAGGACAGCAATGTCCATATGCCTATTTTTTACTTATATAGTTAGGCGCACGTGTACAGATCTATGCCCGTGAGCATGAGTGTGCTACAACATCCACGTGGAAGTAACTTCCACTGTGTGAGTCCTGGGGGATTGAACTTGGGCCACCATCAGGCTTTGTTGCATGAGTCTTTACTGTTTGAGGCATCTTGCCAACTCAACAATGTGAATTTAGCACATGAGTACTACGCATCAGGTTCCATGATGGGAAGCATTCAGTGTGCGGTGAGGATTAAAAGCTAGCTCATTTTCCTGTCTGGCAAATGACATCTAGCATGTTTAGTATAACTAGCATGTTTAGTATAAATTTGCATTAAAGATTTGTGTGGTTTAAAGAGCACTTTTTAAAACGATTTATAGCTACAGAACTATTTTTCTGAAGCCTGTTCTATTATTAGAATTTGGTTGAAATATCTTAGATTATAGCCATCTGATGGATACTATCCTATAATCTTAATGATTCAAACATATGTGTATATCCAGGAACATTGAGCCAAAAAAAAACCTTCCTGGAACTGTAATGCATATAAGATATATTTATTATTCAGTAAATAATTAAACCAAACTAGTTCACTTCTGTTCCACAAAGTACGAAGTTTGAAAGCACAGAGTGGAGTGAAATGCATAGGTTTTTAATATAGGATGCACTCCGACTGATTTTGTGTCATCTCCAAGCTATTTGACCCTTTTTGCTTCAAAGTTTCCAGCAAAACAGTGCTGTTTGGTGAGTATGTGTGCCTTTGCTATCATTTAGTAGCCATCCATGAAGACTTCACTCCACAACGACAACCTCTGGATAGTTAACAGCTGCTTCCATTGTTGTTCTCTTTATTTCAGCCCTGATGGTTGAGAATATAAATCTATATGCCCAACAATGACACCTGTCTGGAAGGAAACTTCAGTAAAAAAAGTTGTGAGGCAAATTTTGAGTCCTCACACACTTATCTGGGTGATCTCTGAGTTACAGGGCATGGCGGCTCTTGGTTCATCACCAAAACTTCTAGGTGATCTACTTTGGGATTCAGCGTTTCACTCCATTGTCTCAAGCTTATTGTGTTTAAAATAGAATCTCGACTCATAGATTCTAAACTTCACTAACTCTCTATTCTTTCTGGTTCTATAAATGACCTCACAGACCATCCGGCCACCAAAACCAGAAACATGAAAGTCACAGTAGCTCCAGATATGTCCAGCGTTCCCCTAACCCAACCTTTAATTTCCCTCAAAATACTTTGAAATTGGTTGACTCTTGTAGATTTCAATACTGACCCCTACGATCACCCAAGCTCTGTCTTCTACAGAGATAGCTATATCAGATCTCAGTTTTGCTTTCATCCTGTTCCAGGTAATTTTTTTTTCTCACAGAGAGATTACTGTTTTAAAGCACAAAGCACTCCCCTCCTGGTTTTACGTGTTCAGCAGCTTCCTAGTGTACATCCTGTTTGCTGTGCCTGTCAGATCAGGGTCCTCTGTGATCTCCTCTGGGAAGGTCCATTGAGTTTCCACACATCTCACCTTCTGTCATTTTCAGGGAAAGCCATGCACACTCCAACCTGTGGCCTTCATGTGTGTCATTTCCTGTCCAGTATGCTAATTCTTGCTGGCTCTTTCCAATCTTTGAGATTTGCTTGCAGAAGTTACCTTGAAGCAAGGCTTCTAAAACTACTTACTTCAGTCATATAGCCCCTCCCCCCTTTGCCAATTCAGTGTTTAGCCCGAAGATTTTCATTTTTTTTAATGGCCTGTTTTGGAATATGTTTATGGTATTCAATAAATGCTTCATTTTGTCAATACCATTCTGGAGAGAATTGCTCTTCCTAGATTCTTTGTTGTTGAATAATGTTATGTAACTAATTTTGGACTGTTACTATGAGCACAAGTAATATGAGTCACTTCTAGGCTGCTGGTTCAAGAATCTTTAGAACCCACTTGTCCCTTCTGCTATAGCAATGGACAACATTCAGGACAGTGACTACCTAGGCAGTCAGGCGTCTGGAAGGGGCGTGTGCACAGAGCTTGCCCTGTCTTATGATGAATATGTAATATGCATGAAACAATTCGTTGTTTTAAACCACTGAGACGTGGACTTTATTCCTGGAGCAGCGCTGAGCCAATCTTAATTAATACAGAATGAATTTCCAGTTTGAAGAAGTGTCTGGAACAAAGCAAGTGAATACATGACTCTGACTTAGGGACCAGGTAGCACACAGAAAAGGAAGTGACAGAAGTCGGGAGGGTGGTGACTCATCGTCACAGGAGCAGAAGATTGAGAAAGACTATCATAAGGACACGGTGCAGCCTGGAGGCAGATAATGTAACCGGTAAGCTTGTGGCTGCCGCGGAGGAGGCTGGATCTGGAGAAGCACAGTTCTCCGTGCTGGTAAACAGTGCTGGGAAAGTTCAGTTGAGAAAACGACTGTCTCGGTCTGCTAATAAAAATGCAAGTGAGCCTAAGAGATGCCCTGGCAGTTAAGCGAATGTGCTGCGCAGGGAGTTCGGGTCTCCACATCCAGTTTGGGCAGCTTGCAACTGACTGCCTGTGACTGGTGATCCAGTGCCCTCTTCTGCCCTTCATCGTCACGGGCACTCATGTGCACATTCATCCCCACATACAGACACAGACACACAGTTAAAAATAAAATATAAAAAAATGAAATTCATTATAGAGAGTCCAACAATGTGGAAATATGAGCAACTAGAAGAAACAGGTGGCTTCCGCTTTCAGTTATTAAAAATAAGCAAAAAAATAAAAAGAGGAGATAGTGAGAAGGGTGGAGGGGAGGAGAGGGGGCAATGAAGGCTGGTTAGAATGCAAACTTGCGGACAGGATCAACTCTAGATTAAAGTAATTTCAGGGTAATCTTTCAGTAGTACGAAATAGCACATGCATTGCTAGGCCAATAGCCTGAAAGGAACAAGAAAGAAATAAGCAAGGAATGGCAATGGCTGCAGCTGGGACACACAGAGCTCACTTGGATCAACTACAGAGACAGCTGACGGAAGTTCTGAGAGTGGGACGAAAATACCTATCAGTCATATTTATAGGGAACTGTGGATAGTCTTGAAATGACCAGGGGCCTCTTCCTCTGTGTACAGGAAGCAGTTTGAGAAAGTTGCTTGAACTCTAAGAGTTATTTATTCAAGATGACAAGTGAGATCATGAAAAAGATATAAAAGAGTATAGCTAAGCACTGCCAGAAGCCATGGACTAGAGGAGGAAGGTGCTGTGGATTAGACATGGGCCTAATCAAAGGCCATCGCCTCCCCTAAGGGGCTCCTTGCAACGGCTGTGCAAGGTTGCAAAATAGCCACAGACTATGATTGGTGTCTCTGTCCCATTCTTCCTCTTTCTGAACGGGAGTGGTCATTGTGGTTATCATGTTCCCACATGCATCTGCGTACTAGGTACAAGGGAAGGATAATTTAAAGGCCTACAAACCCTCCTGCGAGACCCTGGGTATTGAGCTTGACACTCTATTGCCCTGTATGGTTTGTTTGTCTTGCTTTTGTAGGTCTGAGGATTCGCATCTAGGGTCTTTCACACAATGGGAAAGCACTCTACCACTGAGCTATATTACCCAGAAAGACTGATTTAGCTTTAATAGCATGAAACTCCTTGGGTTGTTTTACTCAGAAGATATTATACATTTATTTTACATGTGGAAAAAAGTGTAACCCCATCTAAGGACTGTAAAGGGAGGCTTTTTCTTTGAGAGGAGCCTTCCCGCCAGCCTGGTTCTAGAGCCGCATCAGTCCCAAATAAACACACAGGAGGCTATATTCATTATGAAGCTGTTGGCCTTACTTGCTTCTTACTGGCTAGCTCTGACTTAAGTAATTACCCCATAATTGTTAATCTAAGTATGTCTCTTACTGGAAAAGTTCCGGGCTTCCTCCCCAATGGCGTTACATCTCAACTCTCTTGTGTT